AGCCGGGCGCGATGGTTCGAAGCCAACCATGACAGATGTTCTAGGGGGAAAATGTTGTCTTCGTGCAGAAGAAATGGATACGTCCTTGTTCTCGGGTCCCTTGGGGAGTTCCGGTCCTCGTCTCAAATCCATGTAGCTCGAGACCCCGGTGGTCTGCCGCCGTCGTTTCTGTGACTGACTTGGGGTTTCTCTTCCAGGTTCTACATAGAAAGCATTTCGTACCTGAAGGACAATGCCACCATTGAGCTCTTCTTTCTGAATGCCAAGTCCTGCATCTACAAGGTAAGAGCTTCCTTCTTCCCACGGTGGCTGCTTGAAATCCCCGAGCATCTGGGGTCTGGGAACGCCAGCTCCCTGGCCCCGAGAAGGTGCGGCTGGCTTCTTCGTCTCTAGATGAGGCCTGGTGGCCGAGGAGAGGGCCATGCAGCCGAGGATGCTTCTGCAGCGAGCGGCCCGGTCCCATCGCGTGTTTTCCCCAATCCAGAAGGCATTTATTAGAGTGTTCCTTTCAGTCAGTGTTCCCAGGACTGTCCAGACAGGTTTTTCAGTCAGTGTTCCCAGGACTGTCCAGACAGGTTTGGGCATACTTTTGCCTTCAATATAAAATGTTGAAACTGAAGTTGTAAAGAATTCATCCTAAGATGGACATTGTTTGAGAGATTCACTCACTGAAAAATAGTAAGAAAAAAAACGAAAACTTTCCCTGGATTATTTTTGCACAATCATGTCTAATGACTGATTCACATCGACAAAATGAGGAAAATAGTAATTCTATATAGTTTGTACAGTAAATAAAAAATATAAACACAGTATTTCAATACCGTAGAAGCTTTACACATCCACAATACAGTGCATATGCATATATAAAACATAGCTCTCAAATGTAATGATTAAAGATACTACAAATTACTATCATCTTCATTATAAATGATATGTATTTCAATGTAGAAGTATATTTTTTCGTAACAGTGTAAGTTTTAGAGATAACTTGAATGGTGAAATTTGTAGAGAAATTATAAGTTCATATGCAGGAGTTTTTTAATAATTCAGTAGTGGAGTGATAAAACTAGAGAAATCTTAATTATATAAAAAAACACTTAAACCATGAATGCCCAGTTTTCTAATGCACTGTAAAAAATTGAAATCATTCTATGGGTGACGTAGATAGAATGTATTACTACTGAGTCACATATTCCCGGGCACTGAGGCCAGGGAGCGGTCTGCCTGTGTGAGGACTGGCCATTGGGGAGACGGGTATCATCTGAGTGGCTATGCAAATATTAATTATTATAAAGTTAAAAAAAGGATATAATTGCAAAATAGTGCTTTCTACTTCCTGAGAGTTATCAAATTTGAAGAGGAATTTAGATTTTCATTGGACATTTAGCATGTGGCTATTGAAAAGGCTACATTGAACATAGGGCGGATGATCCCTTCAGGACCAGTGGTCAGAGTGGCGATGTCGGGAAGGTGCAGGGAGGGTGGGGTGGAAAGGGGGAACC